TTTACTTATCTTTTGTCTAAGATTCTTGGCTAGATTTAGTGTAGAAATTTTTGTTGTAGACCTAATAAGTTTATCTAATTATTTTATGTTCTTTTTTTAGTTTTATGTATATGTTACAATTCTTATGATGAATAATCCATTTAAAAAGAAAAAAATATAATAAAATCTTTATCTTGTGAAACCTCTAGTTATTTAAAAAAACATAATGTTATTATTTTCCAAAGGTAATAATCTAACTTTAATTAAAAGTTTCATAAATTAAAAAAAAAAATCCTTTTAACAAGTTAATACCCTTCCTTCATTAAACATTTGCCTACAGAGGGTTTCAAATTTAAGTTAGTTCAACAAATATATTCCTTCTTCTTAACATGACTATACCCTTCCTTCAAATACATTTGCCTACAGAGGGTTTCAAATACTTTTTATAATTATAATTATTTTTATTTTATTTTCGGGTTAGGAAATATTTAACAACCAAAAAGTTCGTTTTAAGTCCGCCACAACTAAGTCATTTATTTTGAAACTTGTGAAGATTTTTATAAAGTTTTAATACATTTGTTTTTCTATCACACTATTATCGTTGTAGCACATTGGACTTGGTGGTTATGTAGTTGAGTTGATGTTGTGAGGTTTGGGGTTTGAATCCCATAAGCTTTCGTTGTTACGAAAAAACATTTTTGGGTCTGTTGTGAAGGCGAATCCGACCTGGTTCGGACCCATTATCAATACTTGACCCGTTTGGTTCTAAAACTCAAATTTCAGACCCATTTGGGCCTTTTGCTCACCAAAACCAGTTTTGTACATTTCTATGCTATCAAAACTAGTTTTCTACATTTCTATGCTATCAAATCAAACCTGTTTGACTCATTTTGACACTAAACAATTCTGTTAATTATTTATTTTCCCTTTGTTTAAATAAATAATATTGTTTGATCTCTTGATGCTTGTTGGATCACCTAATGTCATGTTTGATCATCTAGTGATATTTAATAGGGTTGATTGTGCATGAAGACGAATTCCGTCAAAAAATATGATTTATAAACATGCTATCATAACATGACTATACCCTCGACATCGATATCCTGATGTGAGGAGTTTCTCTTGATTATTACTATTATTATAATAGCATTGACTAGACGATGTACCAATCTTGATTGGACATATTTTGGGTCATGGTTATTTTTCCATAGTTTTATGGAAGCTGTTCTGTGGTACCTCTGTGGTTAGTGAATAAAATTTTTGTTTGGTGGAAAATTTGCAAGAAAAAAATAAAAGAATTGAATTTGATTTATTCTTTCTAACTGCTTAGAAAAAGAATGTTTACAACACTCTCAACCTCAATTACAATTTGAATTTCCTGATTACAAAAGAGAAGAGAATTAATGTGAATTCTCTCCTTTGTTTAAGTATGGGTTCTTCACAGTGACGATGGAGTGCCTCCCTCGAATGCTCGCGTCGAGTTTGCTCTCCGTTGACGATCCAAACACCTCGTTGGAATAGTTAACTTGCGTGGCAAGTTTGAAAACTCTAATCGAGTTAATAACTCAGAATGTGTTTTTTAGAACTCGGTGATAGAGTTGATTTGAACCAAAAGTCGGTTTCGGTTTATAAGCTAAGTAGGAAAGCTCCAAGAATGGCTCCTGATGATGCTCCAGGCCTTCCAAGATCAGAAGATGCTCCAAGAGGTAATTGCCGATCTTAATTCTTCAGCAATTCCCCAAAAAAGCCAGCCCCAAACTCAGTTGAGTTTACCCATATTTATAGGGGGATTAAGGTGTGTAACTACCCCCTTAATCCGCTCCTAAGTGGGGCCGAAATCCCTCCAATTGTGGGGGAAATGGTTTCTGGAACCGTTCAGCTCGAGCTTGAACGAGTCAAACGCCAAAAATGACGTTCTGGGCCCGAACTCTGCGTTTTAGATTTGAAACGCAGAGTTGGGCCTGTTTTAGGCTGAAAACGTTGTGTTCGCACAATGTTGTAAATCTAAAACGCAGAGTTGGGATGCAGAGATGAACTCTGCGTTTTGAGTCCACGAACTATGCGTTTTCAACTGGAACGTTGGGGATGAACCATGCGTTTTGAATCTGAAATGCAGGCATGGCCTCTGCGTTTTGATGTTGTACGCAGGACCGACCGACCTCTGCATTTTAATATTGCAACGCAGGGAGGACCTCTGCGTTTTGTTGCTGACACACGGGGAGGACCTCCGTGTTTTGGTGTTACAACGCAGGGAGGACCTCTGCGTTTTGTTCTAGGAACGCGGCCACGAGCTTTGCGTGTGGACTTGAACGTTGGGGACTGACCCTGCGTCTGGACTTGAACGCTGGGGATGAACCCTGCGTTTTGAACTTGAACGCTGGCATGAGCTCTGCATTTTGAATCTGGAATACAGAGGCGAGTCTCAGGTGAGCTTGGTGATTTTTAGGCTAAGTCCAATGTTCAGGCGAAGTCTAGTCTTGCAGACGGACTTCCGAACATAACTTACTGCGAAAAACATGTCATAACTTTCAAATAGTAAGTCGAAATTGGACAAATTATATATAAAAATCGACTATCTCGATAAGATGGAGCCAACCAAACCAACCCCATAGGGTTCGGTTTGCTCCTGTTCATTTCGTCAAATTCCTTACAGTTTGGGAGATATCTGTGTTTTGATTTGAAGAGACCGTCAATTTATAGTCTCTTTTGCTAGAGTGTTACAAAGATCGTCATCTTGTAACATTCATCTTGGCTCCTTAAAATATGAGAGTCGTCAGATTATAACTCCCGATGTTGATTGTGAAGGTTGTTGATTAGAGCTTTCATCAGTTGTTACGAAGGTCGTCAGATTGTAACCTTCATCAATCTACGTGAAAGTCTTCAAATTGTAGCTTTCTGGAAGACGTCAAATTATAACTTCTATCATTGGTATTTGATGGGGGATCAGCTATCTGCAGTGATTTTTAGACAACCTACAATTTCATGCACAACCACTTAAAATAAATAGATAAATTTGTGGTATATAAAGGGGAATTGGATGCATATATAATGTGTATATAAGCGGGCTCATGCGCATTCTTGATATCCAGAGTTATATATAAGGGCTAAGGGCCAATCCTGATTTGAAGTCGTGTTCCCAGGACATTTAGGGGAACCTAATTTATATACATGAAATATTCTTCTCTAATTCAAATAACATCTAAAATAATAATAATGTGCTTGTATGCCTTGTGGTAGACCTTATTTGATATCTAAAATTAGCATTTTCTTTTATCACCTTTAATTAAGATTTTATTTTTTCTTTATACCTGCTACATACACTTACACGTGCATAATTCCTTCATTTTACATGCTTGTTAGGAGTTTTCTGATTACCATGGGGTTTGTACACTTCAGACTCAGGGGCTGTTCTTTCTTCGCAGGAACGAGAATATTTTGAGGAGCAAGTCCAGTGACAATGATCACCTTTTAGTCCATCAGTTCTTCAGTTCAGTTAGTTTAGGTAGTTATTTGATTTAGACTTTTTCTTGGCCACATGTGACTTCTTCTAGACTATGATGTAATTTTTTTTATTATTACCCTTTCCATTATGGATGGCTGTAAACTTGTAGTTGGACTCCGTCTTTCTGGAGATTTCTTCATCCATATATTTCTTTTATTATCTTAGTTACATGCTTTGTGGTGTAGTTTTGACTTTATATCTATATATAGGATGATCTAGAGGCGTGAATGTGGCCAAATGGTTGCATTGTTGGCCGAGTAGGCCATGTAGGCAGCTAAGTCGGTAGCTACTCTACAGGTGCCGCCTGCAGATGAGATGAATCACCTATGTGTTTAATGTGATGGTGAATAGAGAGGCATAGTGCTGACGGAGGGTGATGAGTTATGAAGACTTTGAGGGCTGGAGCAATGATGATTTTGACCATGCATCCACTATGATAGTGACTGGTTGTTTACGAGTAGTTCGAGGACAAATCACCTCTCGACTCGGCTTTTCGAGTGGGTCGAAAAAAGACACCTTTTGACTCAACAATCTCGAACCGGGAGGTTCTTGACCTGGTCTTGCCAAATGAAGAGGTACGGCGTCGTCCTGAATTGAGGGGCTTGAGTAAGGATGCCTTTCAATTCGTCTCTTCTTGGTTAGGGGTCGAGTGAAAATGTTATTGGACTCATCCTGCCTAGGGTCTAGTCGAGATGATGCGTAGCCAATTTGAGACATGTGTCGACTCCAAGATGATGATTAACACTTAGGTCATTTTATGTCATAAGACTTACCAAAATTTATAATCAATATGATATGTTGAGGATATAGATTTGTTGTCAGATATCCAGATCTATATTCGAAATATCTGAATACATATTGGTCAAACTCTTGAAATAGTTTTATTCCTTAGATTAATAGATTTGAGGTTAATTTTGATGATCAAAATGTTTAACTTAACTTTTCAATATAACGAACATATTAATGAACTCTTTTGTATCACATTAACTATATTTTTTTAAATGTTATGTAATTTTCTCATATTGATTTTGTATTTGCATACATATTCACTTTTATATCTGCGTGTATATATGTATCCATATACAATTTTAGTGGATATGGATATGATAAGTGTCATATCCAAGATGTATTCGGACCGAATGCACCCCAAGTTATAACAATCTCTTGTGCTTCAAATAACTTTAATTTTTTAGTACTTTTCACTTACCATGTTGCTAATCAAATATGAAACTACAAAAATAGTGGAACATACAATACAACTCAATCTTCATCCAAACCAGCATTTCGGAGGAATTTTTTTCCGGCAAAATTAACATCATTATTTTATGAACATTTGTTTGTGGGCTTTCTGGGCCTACAAAACGTAACAAGGCTGTAGCCTGTAACAGCTAGTGACTCGACTTTACCAAATATAAATGTAAAAAACTTTACAGAGACAGATGTGCACCATTGTTCTCTTAAGAGCATATATGCAAATAACCCCTTGCAAGTTTTACTGTGAATAAAATAATAAATATAAGAAAGAGGCGTTATGCGGGCCAAAAAGGAGCAGCGGAAATGGCCGTCGTTGACAGGGGACGAGGGGTTCCGATCAAATCCGTCGTCGCCTTGTTCTTCGTTTTCTTTTCGAGATCCTTCGATCTGGCGTCTTCTCTAGTTCCCGATCTTGGATCGGAGCGTGTCGTGTTTCAGGTTTCAGTCCTCTTGCTCTCAATTTATCCGGTTTTTTTTTTCTCAATCAATTTGGTGATGATTTCTTGTTTTTCGAATTCCTTGAACTTGGAGCAGTTCGGTTGTTGTTTATTTTGTTGAAAGATCAGGTTTTTATGCTGAACGGTTATGTAAAGTCAGTTGAATCTCATCTTTTGAACAGCAGTTAAATTAGACCTAATTATTTGTAGTTAAGTTAGACCTAATTACGAATTTGCACAATTTCTCCATTGATTGAAGATGCTTTAGGTTAAACATTAAATGACTACTTGGGTATCTCTTTAAAGAAAATTTCGTAGATGGAAACCAAATTTGTTTTGCGAACATTTCTATTTATTTTATTCCTCTTTAAGCTTGCTTTGAAACCTACCAAAATCCCATTGAATTAAATGGATAGCATAATTATCAAATCAGAGTTACTATGTAATCCTAAACAAACCCTACTTAGTTAGACTCGCGATCTGGTTTATCATTATGATGATTGTTGCAAGAAAATCCTTAAGAATAACTTGAAGTAATCCTTCATATGATTAAATGCGACACTTATCCTCAATTAACATTTAAATGGATCAAGTCTTAATGATAATAGGGAATAACTTGAATCATTTTAACTATTGTTATGTTCATCGGTAGTATATCTGACATATACTTAGTTATGTTTTGAAAAGCTAGTGCTTAGCCCTCCTAGGCGTCTGCTGAGGCGTAGGCGTACTTAGCCGCCTGCCTTGGTCTTGGGAGTGGGCCGTTTACACGGACTGCATCTCTTAGATATTGATACTAATTTCCTCCCCTGTAGCCTCACGTCTTTCATCCTCCTTCGAAATCCTCCTCCTCCACTAACTATGAACACCTAAACCTCCTCCACCACCACTGATACAAAGAATAAATCTTATCTGCCTAGGCATCTAGGCGGTAGACGCCGATGCCTAACGATTTATATAACACGATGCAAGAAGTGTTACTCTTTTCTGTTACATGCCGCCAGCCTCACCTTTTATGTTGTAAAATACAATGAGCTCCAGAGTTCTCTCGAGAATTAAAAATGTCACACAATCCAACCTGTGATGAAGAAAGCGGTCCCTTCTTTTCTATTTAAGCAGTACCTAACCAATTGTTAGACACTGATAAGAATAGTAGTCTGATAACTCACGTACGTGCAAATCTGTTTTCCTCTTTATTTGTAGCTAATAGTGGGTAAATGATCATTCCAGTTTTGCATATTTCTGTTAGGAAAAAACCTGCTGATAAATATCCAGAACCGAAAGATCATGTATGTTCAACTGAAACTCCTAGTGTTGCTTTGCATGCAAAGAGATAAATGAATGGGGAACATATGTAGAAAGGGTTTAAAGCATATATCGGAGAAGGCAATCACTTTCTTTTCATAGACACAAGGCCCGTATTTGAGGAAAATGAGTATGATTACTGATGCATGATTAGGGATGTTTGATGAATTAATCTCTTACTTCTTGAGGTCTTGTGTTTTTGGTTGTTGTCACAACTCACAATCTTCAGATTAGTGGATATTCAGTTCAAATCACCCTGACAGAGTCTATAGAGCAGAGATGGATCCAATATTCCGTCTTTTGGGATATGGTTTCTATATGATATCCTTAATACTTTTGTAATATGGATTGTGTCAAAAACTTTTGAGCTACCATTCTTTTTCCCAGAAAAAAGGAAAGAAGAAGAAGAATAAGAAGAAGAAGAAGAAGAAGAAGAAAGAAGAAAAGAATAAGTTGCTATGCCCATTTCTATCCATTGTCTGCACAATTTCATATTGCTATAATTAACTATATCACTCCACCAGCCATAATCAGTGGACTGCTTCTTCTAGTAGTACCTTCCAAAAATATCAACTGCGAAAAATCTGCTGTTGGTCAATATTGCAGGATTGTTATGATTGTCATGCCTTTGTTTTCTAGAATTATAAAGTGTACCATGATACTACTGGACATCAACAGTATAATGTTGATAGTTAGATTGTTGAAGGTGGATGGACAAAGAAATTAGCAAATCAAGACACTATTCATATGCAATTAGAACGACAACAATAACAAGAACAAAGCCCTTACCCCAATTTTGTGGGGTTGACTATTCATGTGCAAATAGAACGCAAAGAAAAAGTAATTTTGATTATAAAACTAAGCACTTGAACTATTGACTTCTGATTCTTATACTGATGGCTGGTTCTCGCTGTGAACTAATGGTTTTATAACTTTCGCAGACAAATTATGGTGACGTTGAATTTGGTTTTTTCCCTGATGTTGCCCCCAAAACAGTTGAACACATTTTCAAACTTGTTCGTCTTGGGTGTTACAATACAAACCATTTCTTTCGGGTAATTAACTTGCCGATCTAAGTTTCTTGAATTCCTCCTTTTCCTGCCCAAATAGTTTCATCCGTAGTATCTGTATTACTTTCAAAGGGACTTGCTTTAAACTTGTGCAGGTTGATAGAGGTTTTGTTGCACAAGTTGCTGACGTTGTAGGGGGGAGAACTGCTCCTATGAATGAAGAACAGCGGTTTGAAGCTGAGAAAACTGTGGTCGGGGAATTTAGTAAAGTTAAACACGTAAGGGGGATTCTATCGATGGGAAGGTAAGAAATTGTTTGATGCAAGTCCTTTTACCTGAGCCATTATATGTATCATGGTCATCTTTAATGAAGCGATGCTTGTATCAGTATATAGTTGCACTTCGTGGACAGTCATACATATATCAAACTGTTCTTACACGATTCCTAAATATGATAATATATTTTCAATTCCAAACTCTTGTTTCATGCTTCTTAAGAACTTCTTTATTGCTATAAGTTGAGATATATTTCTTTCATTTGTATATGGAAAACCATATTTTAGGGATGTGAAAATGGTGGCTTGTACTGTATGTTACATACGAGAAGTGAATAGAGGCAAGGCGTATTCGTATAGAGTCATAAATATATATCATAGTTTAATTTTGGGATAACTCTTATTCTATATTTCTATCACTAGAACATGTATCAAGGTGGCATGGTTTATGCATGTTTATGGATCTACGTACTTTCTCCCTGAGTCCCTCTCAAACATATAAATTCATACATATAGATGGATATGTATGATTTGTTGTCATGTTATCATGCCCAACTTTTCAACTTGTAAGAATTTGAATGTTTCTGCTTGTTTGTTTCTATGTCTTGCATCTGCTTTTAGAAATCTCTACATAAATGTGGGATGCATGCTTAAATTCATGCATATAATATGCATACATACACACATCCATCTGTACATGCATGTACGTTCTCTCATACATACATATGAAAATTGCAGAACATGTAGATAGATATGTGTGATTTCTTGTCATGTAATTGTGTCCAAATTTCCAACTCGTGAGAAATTGAATGTTGCTGCGTGTTGCTGTGTCGTGCATCTGCTTCTTAGAAATCTTTACATAAATTTGAGGTGCATACTTAATTCTATATTTCAAATTTGGTTGTTGCCGATGTATACCTAAGGCAAATTTTTAATTCCATGTTATGCTTCCATGTAGGTACTCTGATCCAAATAGTGCTTCATCTTCTTTTTCAATCCTTCTAGGAGATGCACCACATCTTGATGGCGAGGTATTTTACTGTTGATCATTTATAAATTTCTCATGCAAATTTGTGTGGTTGCTGACTCTTGTCTCGCTTCCAAAAACTTTAGTATGCGATCTTTGGCAGGGTCACAAAGGGTGATGATACATTACGGAAGCTAGAGGAGCTTCCAACGCGTCGTGAAGGGATCTTTGTCATGGTACTGCTTTTATTTGTCCAAATATATTATTGGCATGAATATATGCTATTCTAGTCTAGGAATATTCTTAAACTTAGTTAATTCCAAATTAACCATTATGTTAAAATGTTCTTCCAATTTTGTTCCTATATCAAAACCATTTCTTGCTTAGCTGAATGGATGTTTCTCATTTTCAGCCTATTGAGCGTATCAGCATTCTGTCAACATATTATTACGGTGAGTGTCTGAGAACTTATATATCATATTGTCTTCTAATTAGTGAAATTCTGGTGAACTTTTATATGCTGATATCTTTTCAAGTAGGGATGCAGTTTTTGCCTCAACTAGTAAATGATGGTGTGGGTCCTTCAATAGTTTGTTATTTGGTCAACTACTATTAGCTACATAGAATCAAAAGAAGCGATTCTGTACTGGTGACAAGATAGCATCCTGAGAAAGAGGACGATAAACTTGGATTCGATATTGTGTACTTTCACATAAAATTAGTGCTGTTCAGTAGGATTATATCATTCCTTACTATTCTAGTATAATGGTACACTTAATTATCAACTCGGATAAAAATTTAGAGCATAAAAATAGCTGTAGACCTGGCGGATAAAAGACCAAATATTTCTGAAGGTTTCTTGTTTGTAAGCTTCTGCTAAAACAGTCAACTATAAATAGGAAAGTAACTGTTCCTTTCAGGTTTATGCTCCGGAAGATTGGCTGCTTCATGCATTTTAATTATGTTGCATTGTTTTTGATTATGTGAATTTATCATATAGACATGATCTTTTTTTGCAGTCTTGAATGCTTGATCCTGTTGATAGTATGCTAGTTTAACCCATTCTTTCTTGTGTAGTTAATGATGCAACATGTTGAGATACCGTATATTGTTTTCAATACTGAAATTGGAATTTTCAGGCATGCTTATCCTATACAATTTATTAGTCTCTCTGAACTTGGCAATAATTATTAAACAAATAAAAGATGGCGGGTCCTTTTTGGTGGAAATAGCTCATGGATTTAAGGAAAAAGACGAGTTGTGGGGTTCCGTGCTGGTCAACAGATACACCAACTTGTCAGTATAGGTCGAACATTAATGACTGGCAAGCTGATCAGGTGGCCAGGTCTTGTATAGGTCAAGCTCATGTATCTCAGATGGTTGAGGTGCAACAATAGTTTCACCAATTGTTCATATCTTCTCTCTTGCTCTTGCTTGCCCATTTAATTATTTTTCTCCAAAAGTTTACATTAGATATTTTAACCTCTTATTCATCATTTAATTTTTTTTTTCCTTTTTTGACTTTTCTATCAGTAGGCATGAACAAACCTTCACATGTAATGGGTTTAATAATTTTTTCTACTCATTTCAATATACTAAATACAAAGAGTTGTGGCACAGTTATTGAACTTTTCTCCTGCTATAGATATGAAGGAAGATAACTGCCAGCATGAGAAGTCTATCCTAAAGAGAAAGCTGTCTGAGTCTGCCATTGAGATTGAGAGACAGGTGGGCAAAAGCAAGTTGCATAATTGTCTGTCAAAGTAGGTTGATTTTCTCTAAATAATTGAATCACAACTAAAAATTTGTTTCCTCTCTATGTTACAGAGGTTGAAATGCTTTTCATGATCCTAACCGAATATGATGTCTCCAACCCACTCAAAGCTGTGTAAGTTATTTTTTTTTTCCCATTCTTCCTGTGTAATGATGTTATTGTAGGTTTTGAGTCATAGATGACAGAAACACCTTTCCTGTAAACAGTATTTAGTTTTTACAATACTAAATTTGCACTGTTAAAACCCCATGTATATGCAGGATGTATATATCTCTTAGCTATGAAACAACGTTGACAGTAAAATGTAATACTCTTCCAATACACCTTCACCCTCTCCCATGTACTCTTCTAAGGCCATCACCTCTTCCTAGTAAGATCTTCCCCAGTTTCTCCACTGAATAATGACCAGGCTTGCCATGCATGATTATGAATCAATGATTATGCATCATAGGAGCCCTTATTGAACGTTATAGGGAAAATGAAACTGTGATTTTATATAGGAAACAATCTGATTATCGTCTTCTTTATGTAGCAAATCATTTGCAACTGAAATTTGTCATAGTGAAATTTGTATTTCATCTGGAATTCCTAAAAGAATCCGTAGCTGATCTGTACTTGCAAATCATATCTTAGTTGTAAGTTCAGGATATATAATATCACAAATTCCACTGCAGTTCCATACTTACCTAATCTGCAGGCAAGCAGGTGCATGCTCTACACTCTATTGTATTATTACCTTCATAGTCCAGAAAAAACATTTCTTTAGATGTGTCCCCCATTGCTTGACCCCATTTTGATTTAAGTAGAAACTTTGTTGTTTTTGTTGTTTTGGTCAAGAGACTTTGGATATCCTCGAAGATGCAAATGAGTGTGGGATTCATCATGGCTGTTCCCAGTTAAATGGGTTCTGGTTCTATCTTTAAGTTTTTCTTTTCCAGAATTCTTGTCAATGTCCTTGTCTTCTGAATGCCTATAGACAGTGGTGAAGATAAGGGAATTTCTTGATATCCCAAAGTTGTGGAAACTATATCACATGAATTGGGGTGTTATGTTTTGTCCTCTCTGGTCACCATCCTTCCGGCAGACACCGATCCTTATCCTAGCCACTCATCCACCCTGCATCATCACACAAAATAAATGTTTATGCTCCTCTTGGTTTCATAAGTAGTTATCATTTTTCACTTTTAATTTGGGAAGCATTTAATCTCATTTGAAAGCTGACCCATCCGCATGTTCAAATTCCATGGGATTAGATTTTGCAAAAGCATTTAATCTTCAGATTGAACAAACTTAGAAGCATAGAAGGAATAGGAGTTTTGTAAAAAAAATGTTTGAAATTTGGAAATTTAAGAAAATAAGGGCTGAAGGGGGACGAAAGAACAATAGGAGAAGAAAAGATCGACAAAGTCACAAATATACAAGGACTAGGATTTTTGTTTCACTTACACAGGTTGAAAATTGAAACTTTAAGAAGAAAATAACTGAAGGGGCGAAAAGGAAAAATAGAAGAAGAAAAATCATAGCTGTCTTCTGTTCAAGGTTTTAAATATTGGATATCGGGAAAATATCGGATGACCAAATTTTATATCGGATTGCGGATATCGGAGAAATATCGGGGATATGTGGTAAATATCGGAATGCCATAACGGATATTTGCATATATAGTATAATGCACTTAAATGTAATCTGAACATACTTAATGAAATCTAAGCATATCAAATGTAAATAATATATGTTTAGGATCACTAATCAACATTGTAAAACAAACAAAAGTACAAGTCAACGGTGCAACATTTGGTCTGATTTTTTAGGGGAAAATGTCATTTGATATAATAGGAAAAAGTCATAATATCTCGCCCAAAAATTGCTAATCACGGTATGTTGTTTTGTGACAAGCCATATAAAAAGATATATCAGTCCACATATCGGCCGATATATCGACCATATCGGGGTATATCGCCCAAAATAGCCAAAAAGCGAAGGATATTTAGAGATCATATCGGTTGTGGCAAACCCAGTAAAAGGATATATCAGCCATGTCGGGGATATTTAAAACAATGCTTCTGTTGAGGTTGTGTTTTGTATCTGATTAACAATCCATTGATTTCATGTCAGTTGGTTTCGTGCCAAACTGTGTGCAGTTGGATTTGAGCACAAGAATTTAGCCGTTAGATGGAATAAGAGTTAACCCTTCTAATTATAAAGAAAATAGTCAAAATCATTGTTATTCCCAAACACCAAAACTGATCTTAAGGGCTAAAATAAAACTTATTTAACGGGTTAATAATTTAGTCCTTCGGATTATCAAATGGGCTAAGTACATTAATCCTTCTCTTTAACCCCTCTTCATTAACCCTTTGCCAAACGGGGCCTAAGAGTACATATATACCTCCTGTTGTGGGATGAGAGGTTAGTTTATCTCTCTTGCTCAGCGCGAGAGACATGAGGGATGGGATATAGAGAGATGGTGATAGGTTGGAAGATAATTGTTCTTTCTGAAATTCATGTTATATCTTGATTTAGTGAATTTCATATTTGCCTTTATTGTATCATATATTCTAGTTTTCAACAATCTCAAATAAATAAATAAATAAAAATAATCCTAAATTAGGTAAATGCTTGGTTTGTTTGCTCTATAATTCCCTGATATGCTTGCATTCCTTAGATGTGCTCTAGCTTCTAGGAAACGGTAAAGATGACATTTTGATGCAAAGTGCAGAAAAGAGATACTATTGTCCTTATAATTATGAATTTACTGTATAGATTTTTAAGGATGTTTTTATTGAGTTCAATCACGTGGACTTGTCAATACTCTTATCTGGCCTTTGCAATAGACAACTCACTGAAGAGTGAAAGAGGCTGGCAATAGACGTGGAAACCTGATTTGCATCTTAATTAGTGCCTCAGCTGCTGGCTTTAACACCAATTTTTGGCTGTTCTCCTAACATAATCGCAGATCCCACAATAGGTAAAGACCTCAATCATTTATACATGACTTGGCCGACTTCCTATATACATATCTTAGAGGAAATAATCGAAGGCGATGTCGATGCCATTCTTTTTTCTTAACATTGATATGTGTTTTTAATTTTACTAGTAAAGTGCACGTGTGTTGCACGTGTGTATAGTATTAAAATTTTAAATATAGACCGTAAAATGATGAAGTGAATCGATGATTTAGATTTTACCAATATTCGTATAATTAAGTTGGTTTAGATTTTACCAATATTCATGAAATCCACATAAATGACGTAATAAGAGATTTATGTGCTAGGATTTTTAGATAATTAGATTGGCCAATAGCTGGAAGACCTGAACTTATAGGGTAATGAGACAAAAAAGGAACCAATTCATATCATGTTTCAAATTTAATTACCTTATCAAAATCTATATTAATCATCAACATTTAAAGCTGAAACAAAGCATACAGACATAGAGAGTCAAATTTACTAAATAGCAGATAGCCGACGTGGATTAATAGAGTGAAAAATTATAACCATATGCATGAACAAACTTATTCTGTAAACACAATAGCAATATTAAAAGATGATCTAATATCAGAGATGAGAGACGAGACATCTTTGCTTAATTTTCACTAAGGTTCAAGCTATTTAAGGAAATGCTAATTAATAAGAGCTTTCCCAAATAAATTTCTTAAACTTAAAACTAAAATTGACATGTTTGAATGATGGAGATATATTATGCGAAGGGACTTGTTGAAGTTTAGTGACAATTACAAGAGAGACTGATTATGTTATTCATATGCATTTTATTAATCTCTAGTTCACAAGTTGGCACTAAATCATTGCGATAGCATTTCCATAGAAATATATTCTATCTTTAATGTCATCCTAAGCACTTCGTTTCTCAGAAATAGAAGTCAGATAGTTGGAAGGAGAGGAAGAGAGAAATAAATAAAAAAATTGTAACATATAAAATAAGTAATTAATTAGAAGGTAAAAAAGCCAAAGCTTAAAAATATATCACTTTAGTAATTACAGTTTATTTATAATAAAAATATAACATTTATTTTGGATGCATGTAAATATGCTGGTTGTAGTATTTATTTAATGTTTTTTTGTCTGAAATCATAGTTAAAAAGTCTATTTTGTACTTTTCACAGTAACATCAAAAGGATAATACAATTAGCCTAATGCATTCCTAATCGTGCCCCTACTTCATGATATTAACATTATAGATTTTTTTTGATACAATGTGTTTTTAAATTATACCGTGAAATACGTTTAGAGGGTTGAATTTGAAAAATATTTTATCTAATGAGATTTTAAGATACATTTGCTCAGTTTATTCTTTTTATAATACATTTTAAAATTTGAGTGATCCCAATGTCTCCAAAAAGAAAACTAATCACCAAATTGATTGTACCTATTAAATTGTACCAAATTGACTCATTTCTATAATAGTCAAGTTTCGGAATATATTTTCAAAATTCTAATTGAATTATAGAGGAACATACCATGCTAACACGTGCTTGAACAAATTTGATCCTCGAAAGAAGTCGACATCTTGTGCTCTGTTAAATTTTCTATTCTAATCCAAGTGGAGTTCTAGTTGAGCTTTTCTTTTGTAATTGTATAGTTTTGACTTAGTAGGTATTATGATGAGCGGAAGAAAATGTATGAGCTAATTTACACTCAAGAGATGAAAGAGAAGTTATATAAAAATAAAAAGGGTTGTTTCTTAGTTAATTTGGTTCATAGTTTATGCATTGATTCAAATTGAATTTTAAAAGTCTAGACTCTACATCTTGTTATTGTAATTATTTGATTAGCTTTGTCTTATACTATTTTGTGACTAATTGGGAAGAAATTCATAGTCTTGAGCTGAAATTTTGGACTCATTAGCAGCCGGTGCTCAAAAGACCCAAAGCAATAAAGAATAAAGTAAACCATTCTCTAATTTTATATTAGGTAGTTTATACAAAACTCTAGTCTTTCCATGGTTTAAACTTTGATGTCCCTCCAATACAGTCGTTTCAACTTCTTAGATAGAAGAGTCGTAAGCCCCTCGACATGCAGCTAAGGTAGACCAAAAAATGAACATTGCCATTCTAAAATTCTTAATATAGACATAACCATTTTTATGTAGTCTTAGATAATATACTATTGATAATGATTTTATTCTTGACCAAATATTCTTAGAGACAGTAGGAGGTGCATTTAATAAAGAGTTATGGATAATTATTTAAGGATTAATTATAACCAATGGTATAATTGCGAATTATCAAAATTTAAAAGGGTAAAATAGAAAATTAAAAGTTTTGACTTGTGTATTCTCTTTTATAAGTAGTATAGATTTTAAT